TATTAGTAATTAATGAAGAAAATAAAGAGGAAAAAAAGAGAAGCATTGAAGAGATAAGAGTCAAGTTACTTGTGGGGAAATATAGGGTAAAATAGAAAAATAAAAAGAAGAATATTAGCTTAGAAATAGATAGTATAGTATTTTTACGAAAAAAAGGTATTTTAGATAACCAAATAGAATTAGGATTAGATAGATTAAAATTAGATAATAGCATAGCAGAAAGGTATTCATGTAAACTTGACTCAACAAAATTAAATCAAGACCTCTTCGAGGTCCACAAGGCTTCTGAGACAACTTGGTAAAAGCCTTCTAGGCGGAGAATATAAACCTTTACCTAGTGTAGCAAACTGCTTTTGGGCATTCATAGAGATAGCTGAGGGATGTCGAGCCTAGATATTAAGCTTAACATTATGTAACTAGTTTTATATAATAATCTTAATAAAAGATCACCAGCAAAGTTGCCAAAGGAGAAAAAAAAAAATTTATTTAGTATAATATATAATTTTTTAAGGCTTTTATAAGTCTATAAACATGATATTAGAATAGGCATTCTTTTTGTTTTTATTTCAATATTTCTCTTCCTTCTTACTTTCTTGTTTGAATCTTTTATCGTTATCTTCTATACCTCTGTGTTTTTTTGTCTATCTGTTTTTTTTTTATCAGGCTTTTTAATAAAACATGCAGCTGCTCTAGCTAATGATTGTTAGGATCAAATCCTAAGGGAGTTGAGGATCCAATGTGAAGCATAATGCTGCTAAGTAGGTTATAATTAGGCCTTAATGTCAAGTAAGTTTCTTCATGTAGTAGGATTATAATATAAAAAATTATATCCTTTGTTAATATTAATCTTCTAATACTTCCAATAAAGTATAAGGCAGGACTGCCAAATATAAAAAAAAAAAGAATTTGAAGTTAAAAAAAGTGAAATAAACATTTATTATTTCTAATCTACTGTAATTACAATATTAACAAGAATTTAGATTGGCTATAACTATATTAAAAATAAACTTAACATTTATGAATATATAATATTTTAAACAATCTATAGTTTTTTTCTTTTAATGTTTTATATTTTATTATAATAAATTTATATTTTTTTTATATCTATACTATTAAAATTGTAAATGTTTTGTTTGTCTGTCTGTATGCTTTAAATAATCTGATTAGCTAAATTTAAAACCCATGATCTGATCCTTTTTATATAACAAAAACAATTTGCTGATAACTATTACACTATAACTTACTCTTATAATTACTGTAGTATAGATACAAGAATGTGCCCTAATGCTAGTTTAATTATAACAATATAATTCTGTAATTATATTTATATTTTTTATTCTCTTTTAGCTTATTATAACAGTTGCTATTTTGATTATTGATTGCAATTTCTTTTGTTATATTTTAATAAATAGATAATTATGTATTATTAATTACAAGATTTTAAAATTAATAAGCAATCTGTAAGATATCTGAACAAAAATTTTTTTTATATAAAATTTTACTATAAGTGCAAATATACAGCACTCCTATTTAAAACTTTTTTCTATTAAATAAATCATTCTTGAGCTTGTAACAAAATTGTAGAGCTTATTAAAATACATTTAATAATAAAAGAACATTAAAATTAGCTTGGTGATTTTTGAAAAATCTTTAAAACTTCTTTTTTATATATAAAATTTCTTTAAAAAAATTTGATTTTTTAAAAAAATTTTATATATAAAAAAGAAGTTTTTTAAAGATTTCTCAAAAACCACCAGACTAATTTTAATATTTTTTTATTATTAAATATATTTTGATAAGCTTTACAACTTTTTTTTTTAATCTTCAAAGGTAAGACCATGCCTCTATCTTTATTAAGCTCTACAACTTTTGTTACAAGCTCAAAGATGATTTATTTAGTAAAAAAGGTTTTAGATAGAAACATTGCATATTTGCACTTATAGTAAAATTTATATATATAAAACATTTTGTTCAGGTATCTTGCAAATTGTCTGTTAATATATTTTAAAAAAAAGTAAATATATTAAAATTTTATTAGATTTTAGAATTTTAATATCAGCAATAAAAAAATGAAAGTGTTTGAAGATACTATAAAATTAAAAATCTTTGAAAAATGAAATAAATTAACCTAACTTTATTTGAAATCAAATATTATAAAACCTCTATAAGCACATATTCTTGAAACTTAAGTTTTAACAATATACACTTAGAAAATAATAAGAAAAGTATATTTAAAAAGATTATATATATATTTTAAACTAGAATTTGTATATATATTTAAAGAATATGCATATATAAAGGTTTACTGTATTTAAATAGTTAAATTTCATTGATCAGTCATTATCATATATAAAACAATCTGGAAAAAATATTGAAAATAATCTGATAATGATCATTACCAAATAAGATGCAGTCAGCAATAACCAAATATAATATATTCTCAAACTGTAATATAAAATATAAGTATCATTAAATATCAATTCTTCAATTTCCTAAATACTATTTAAAAAATTCTATTAGATTTTCAATTATATTTTGTAATAACTTGTTACAAAATATAATTAAAAGCATAATAATAAATTTTCTCTAAACAGTACTCAGAAAACAAACTGAATATTAAAAGCCTAATAATAGGTTTTCTCTTAATATTTTATATTAGCTATACATTACAATATAAACTATTTTAATATTGGTATCATAAAAAAATATTTTTATATATACAGTATATTATGCAATTATAATATTTATTTTCAAAAATAAAAATTAATATGGTGCAAATTATCCAAAGACATCCAAAGTTAAGACTTCTCAATGAATATTTAAAAATTTGCAAAAAAAAATTCGTAATATTATAGTTTTAGATATGTTCTACAAATCTACATTTTTTTTTTTGCAAATTTGAAATTATTCATCGAGGAGATACGATTTAAAAAAACATAATACGATTTTAACATGGCTTTATATGGTAAAGCGATCATGTTACTGCTATATAAGGATAGATTACACAATTGTCAATCGATAAATTCAACGGTATCACAAAAAAAAAAAAGTTACATATTCTAGAACAAATGAAATTTAGTTTTCTAGAATTTTTTTTTCCTAGCTGTTGTCTACTTTATATAGACACTCTTTGTTGGATATGGTTATCAGAATGCAATTGACAATAAAATGAACAAACATAAGGCATTTAGTGTTCAAAGACTCACTAATACAGGGCATACTAAAGGAACAGAGACCCTTGGTGACCGTCATCCATGCAGAGTTGAAGTCGAAACGAATGAGTGTAAAGCATTCATTAATTATTAAAAACCTGTGAAATGAATCTTGTTACTGAAATATATTATCCAGGGCATTGTTACTAGAATGGAATTTTAGCTGAAATCGAACTTGCTGAAAGAACACTTAACGTTGGTTGTTATTACCAAGAGTCGATAAAAACGATAAAATTTTTTATTTATGCTGTTACAATTGCTATTAAAGAGGAATCAGAGTTGAAAGGACGAGAAAGTATTTTAATATTTTAAAAATCTGCAAAGATGGGTGTTACTTGTGAACTTGTTAAAATACTTTCTGTTGGTTTTTATGAAGCACTCCAAATGGCATTAATGTGTAAGTATAATTTTTATTAATAAAAAAATTTTAATATTAAATCATTATACTAAATCATTATATCTTTAGTTGGGTAAAACTTACTACACAAGGACAGATTCTCCTTGAACTTTTTCCAAAACCTACCTCTGATTTTCTTGTCAATCTTAAGAAGAAACCTTTTAATCATTCAATGTTTTACAACCTTATCACCTAAAAGTTGGTTTTCTTCCTTTTGACAAATTAGTCAATCTATTCGGTTTTGAATTTCAGAATCAATTTTTAGAGTTGTGTAAACGTTAACGCTATAAAGATCGTATTTTAAATAGTAATCCTACCATGTGGACCACTAGTATGGTTTGATGGTTCTTACGGTTCTTACTAAAGGATTACATAAGTGAATGGGGTGGTGTTTACGAACGTGCTGAACAATACATTAACAAAGCAGGTAATAATTTAGAAATTAAGAGACTGTGGTTGCTACTGGCAGAAAAGCTGTCCGTGAAAATTTGATATTAAAATTGATTATGGTTTGCATTACTTATTTATCGCTTGTCTATTGTTACTTTTATTTCTATTACTGTATTTACTAATTACTAATTATTTATTTAATTTAAAAATAGATCCTAAAACTAAACAATTTATTCGAGAAACTATCTCAATTATACATATTAAACGTCTTCTTAAATGTCAGCAAAGTACTGGTACATATTAAGTTAATGAAGCTAATGATGATCTTGCAAAATTTCTCGGTTATGAGTTATGAAAACCTTGATTAACTTCATATAGCATTCAATGAATATATCCAAATCACAGTCTCCAAACTCAGATAACAATGCTTATGCTTTATTTCTATAATACATTGCTACCTACATATTGATCAAAAGAAAGAATAGTTCCCAACATATGAAAAGTGTCATAGATAGATAATTCTAATTGATACAATTAACCAGTTGGTAAGTTATTGTTAAACATCTTGTTGCTGTACATAAAAATTTGTTTTTCAAATACGTACGCAGTTTTTTTTTTTACATTAAGTCACATTATACATTACTTTACCCTGATTGGTCAATCAATAAATATTTTTGTTTACGTATTTCACGTCTACGTAGTCGTGTTATGTAAACAATAATTTGGTTGGTTGAGGTTGATCAGCAAAAATTGAAGCAGTATAAATTGAAGCAGTAAGTAAGAACACCAATTGTAAAAACATCAAGCAAGAACACCAAGCAAGCAAGAATGCCAAACAAGCAAGCAAAAATACTAAGCAAGCAAGAACACCAAGCAAGCAAGAACACCAAGCAAGACACCAAGCAAGACACCTGGCAAGAACACCACATGAAATGGCTTTGGGTAGGTGATTCTTTTTGAGAATTTTCCTACTTACATCGTCGAAGTATTTTTTCTCCCGTCTAGATGCCTTGTATATTTTTCTCTTCTTGAAATGTCTTTTCTTGCGGAGCCCTCTCCTTATGAAGTGCTTTTTTTTCTTGCAGAACCCTATCCTTATGGAGTGTCTTTTTCCCTTGCGGAACCCTCTCCTTGTGAAGTGCCTTTCTTCCTTGTGGAACCCTCTCCTTATAGAGTGCTATCCACTTTTATAAAAAATTAAAATCCTGTTTAATGATCTAACTTTGGAATAAAAGTTATTTAATTTTTTTTTTTATAAAAGTAGATGTTTTAAATTTTTTTTTCCTTTTTGTATATATATAGAAAAACCCTGAAAAATTCGTGAATGTTGCAGTGATCCCGAGAGGACTGTCCTAATTTCTCTGAATAAGGCCGTCAGTGAAGAAAAGCTAAAGGAGTAGCTCTGCCACAATTTGTCCCAAGTTTTTTCCCATATTCGAAAAGACGATGATGATATATAAGTTACATGTGCACTGTAATTTTATATTATATGAGTTTTAATTCCTAAATGATTTTTTAGGTATAACCATCTGCATTTTTATAAAAAGGAAGCTGCCGCCGATTTTTTTTTTATTATGAAAAAAAAAACAATAACCGAGGGTCCGTTAAATTGCACTATTAATTTCAGCAAGGCAATATACTTTAGAACCTCTTTCAAAACCGGATACGTGATTGTAAGTATATATCTGTTATTTTTATGATTTTATACAGTATAAATAAATTCGAACATATATTTATGAAATGGTTTTGTTATAATGATATAGTATAAGAAACCAAGAGAGCCAATGTTGCGTAGCTTAATCAAAAGGATAGTTGAAAGGATAGTAAGGCTCGAAACAAGAGTCAGTGAACTCGAGCCAAACAAAAGAAAAAAAATCACTGAACAATAAGGACTAAGCCGTTTGATTTTTTTTTAATTAGCTGTTGATTTTTTTTCGATTTTATTTTTTTTTTGTCAATTTTTTTTTCGATGATTGTTTTTTTTCGGTGATTTTTTTTTTCGTTGATTTTGATTTTTTTTTTTTCGATTATTTTTGTTGTATGTATACATATTACAAATAACATTGTAATAAATTTCGTTGTGCTTTAAAGTAAATTTTTTTATTTTGTTTGATCTGTTATGAAGGCATAAGCAATCAAAATTCGGGTTGGATTAAGTTGGTATATTAGAATACGATATATTGCTTATAGGTAATAAGCAATAAACTTGTTGGAGAAAATGAAACAATTCAATTGGGTTTTATATACTTCTAAATAAGTGCTACCAAACACCTTGGTTTTTTAAGTATGTTATTGATTATTTATCTGATTTAGCCCTTCTGATCGATAATATATTGTAATTGATTAGATATACAATGCATCAATACAATACACAATTTTGAACCATATGATTAAAAACTCGATGCGCATTAATCAGAAGGGCTGAATCAAATAAATAATCTGCAAAATATTTAAAAGACCAAGATGCCTTTTTCTCTTAACAACACTTACATAAAATATAATTTATCACTACCACTGATTGTACCACTTGATTGTACTACTGATTGTACTGTACTACTGATTATATGTATAAATATTTAAATTTTGATCTGTTTGATTTTTTGATTTTTTTAATATTCAACTTTATATGACCAAGGTGGTCATAATGTAATAGTAAATTTTATAAGTCATAACAGGTCATAAGGTCATAACCTATAGTTGGCCAATAGGTTATAACAGATCATAGGCCAACACGGATTGTTTTAGATATTGCTTACTGAAGCCGCCGGATTCGTTACTTCCAATACTATATTTTGGGCTTCGTGGATGGTACTATTCTTGTGACTATCTTAAGTTGGATAGTGACATTCATAGGTTACTGTCTTATATTGTTTGATGCTATAATGTTCGCAGCTTTACTTATATCATTTTATGTCTTTATTTATTTTTGCTTTTAGGTGACAATTCAAACTGATATGTAATTGAATCTTGGATATAGGCAAAGTCAAGAATGAGAAAAAGCTCGTGAGTGATGATCCAATTTGTTGAAGGTGGCAATTTGAATAAACAAAGTGATCTTGGATGCTGATATAAATATGGTACGTATCAGTATAACCAAGAATAAAAAAAAAGGCAAGTGAATAGTATGTAAATTACGCATGTACATAGTTGGATTAAGACGAACGGTTTTTAGATTTAACGACTATTCGCGATACTTATTTTAACTTTTATATATACAGTCAACTCTTTCTATATCGAACTCTAGATTCTGGAAAAAAAGGTTCATTATACAGAATTATATTTTCTTAAGACCCGTAGCTCTTGTCATAGTAAATTAATATTAAAATTTTAAAATTTTGATTCAGAGTTTATTATAAAAAGGTTCGTTATATCCAGAGTCGACTGCATTATACGTATATATATACGTATACCAATACTTATACGTAATAAAATAAGTATTATGTAGTTGCGTTTTGAATTAAAAATTCACTTTGACGATTAATAATCACATGTTTTGAATAAATTTGATTGGCTTAACAACTTATCACATGTTTATTATACTACATTTAACGAATTTGGTTGGTTATATTATATACATTATAAATTTAGTCTTGTGCAAATTCTTCAAGAACTTTTTCCAGAATTCGACGATAAGAATGATATTTTTTTACTGCAAAGGCAGCAGCCTTTCCAGTAAGTCCAAGTTCATAGGCACTCATAAAGCGTGCAGAACGGCAAGCAAAATGACAGATCTTCACTAGATCAACAGAGTCTAATGCATGTGGAACAGTTTTTTTGAGACCCTTAAAAGAGTAATCACACTTAAGTTTCGCATAACGTTTTGTCTCAGCCCAAAAAGATTCGATATAATTAAGTTCACAATGGAACTTAGGGTAAAAGATGCACATGTGACCAGCTGCTTCAATTACCTAAATCATTTACATGTAAGTAAATAATTTTTAAACAATTTTTTTTTTTAAAAAAAAAAATTTATTTACCTCTTGTATGTGCGATTTTTGAGTTGCGAAGTCAGGTTGGGCTTGAAGAATACGCGAAGCACAACAGTTTGGGTTGTTTGGATCAGGCTTATTTTTTTTACACGCATTACACCGTTTTATAAGGCCTGGTATCTATAAATCTCGCTCCTCAAGAACCCATTTAATCCCCTTAGGTCTTATTACACCATCACTATCTACGTAGATCATTTTATGCATAGAACTATCGGGCTTTTTATCATCACGAAGAAGTGGTTGTTTTGTACCATCTTCCATGTTCATTCGTGAAACCAAAAGAGCGTCTTTAGCAAATAAACCATGATTGCTGCTATTATCAAACATGAATAGAGCTGTCTTGCCAGTGTGTGTTCGTTCAAATATTGGTATGGCTTGTTCAACTATCTGATCAACCAAATAATCAGTTGTCCACCAACTATCACGATGTAGGCCTGGATAGATAGTAACACACACTTGGGCAGTGATGTACATTTTGATTGTCCAAAGGCTTTTTTAGCACTGTCTAACGTCCAAGTGTCCAAGTGTCTACAAGTGTCCAGAGCATGTCTAAGCTTTAATAATTAATAATTTTGTTTAATAAATATATAATTATATATTTTTTTAGGTGCTGAACATATTTTATTTAGAAAATAACATAGGTTATTTTAATAAAATTTTAAGTAATTTTAATTTATTTAATTGTCTAAAATTGTCCAAAGTGTCCAAACTTACTGTCTACAACTGTCTCATAACAACACTGCACTTGGGTATGTTTAAGGCGCATATGTTCAGGAAGTAAGTTATTTATAGTATAGTCATATTTCGAAAGTTTGAGACGCCCAATTGATTCACAAATAAAATCACTAGAGTGAATACTAAGACCCTGTAATTAAAAATATAATCAAAAATTAGTTGATTAGTTGACCAAAATTTTTTTTTGGTCGGATAACTAAAATATTATATAATTAATTGGCTAATATATAATATTTTAGTTAACAACAACGCACAAAATTTCCAGGTAATATAATGTGATTTTTTTCCAAATATATTTTTCTTAATTGGAACCAGAAAAACTCTATTATAGGTCCCCGCCACAACAATATTTAAATACTACTATAAATTTAAGTCCTCAGTTTTATATAACTCGCAGAAAAAAGTCATTGCTCTTGATTAGATTCGCATATAAACAGAAAATCAGCGAACGTAAAATACAAGCAAAGACAGGGAGTTGATATCCAAAATAATCCAAAGGTCCTAGCAGAGATAACCTAAGTGTATACCAAAGGTGATGTAAATTAAATAATTCGCTTTACTATTAATTTCTAAGGTGTCTATAAAACTGATTTAGCTAATTATAAAAAATCTGATTCACAAGAATATAGATAAATTTTTTTATAGCGGGGACTTATAATAGAGTTTTTCCGGTCCTACTAGAAACTATAGTCAGAAGCAGTGTTCAAAATTAGTGTTCTCAGAGTTCTTATGAGAACATCATTATGAATTTGTGCACAGTACCAATTTTTTAATATTCTCTATTAATAATTTTAAAATAATAAGAGTGTTTTCATCTATAATATAGGAATTGGACTGCCTGAAATTTCTTATTGATTAACTGTTTAACTGTGCTAATTACTAGCATTAAGTTTGGCTCATTACCAATATAATTCATGTTGGAATTATAAAACAATCTTTATGCAGATAAACAGTTCCAATTCTTATTATAATATGTATATTCTATTATAGTTTTTTTTTGTTTGTTTGGTTATTTGTGAACATAAAACAATATTTGAGAACACTTATAGCTACTATACTGTTCTCATGAGAACAGTATTTGTGCCTTAAATTTTGAACACTGAACGAAAGTTGCTATAAATAACGGAAATTTCTATCTGTTAAAAAATCGAAACAGAAGGAAATCTCCATAATTTTACAATAGGTTTTGTGCTCTGGTTGACGATTAAAAACTATAGTCGACTGATTAGTTGACTAAAAAATGTTAACTAATTTTAATCCTTACTTGTGATTTATTTCGTAAGCTATATTTACCTAACGGGCTCTAATACTTCTTCATACCATCATTTGCATAATATGTGGTCTCATCCTGGGTAACAGGAACTATTTCAGACTCACCAGGAAGAAGTTTCGGCAAGATTATACGTTCTAAATTTTTACCTTCATATGTGGCCATTTGGATTTGTAATCTGGCCATCTTTTGCAGAAAATTATTCCTGTATTCTACTACGTCTTCACGTTCATGGCTGTCAAAATAAATGCTTTTTGAATAGGTTTGGTATTTCCATCCAAGTAAATTTAGCCAGCTGCACGCAGTTGACCTACTAATAGTTGTCTTGTTTGTGATTTCAAAAGTAGGTATAATATTATTAATATAGTTTATAAAATCGGAAATGGCTAAAGTAAATTTACTTTTCTCTAAATACTGATTTAATCGAAGTCGAAAACTTTTATTATGTATTAAGGATTTGGTTTTTATATGTTGGCCACGCTTCGACTTTACTAATTCTCTATTATTTTTTCATTGATTTGCTCAGATATGAATACATCGTGCATGCCATAGGCCTTTATCGAGACTCTTGGCAAGAAGTTTACTTGCCTCCATCTTTGTAAACCCTTGATCCTAGACAAGAGAAAGAAACTGTCTTACTGTATAGAGGTGTTTATCGACAGTTTCTGTTTTTAATAATGCATCTAGTGATGATAATATAGTACTATCGTCACCAGTGCTACTATATGGGGTCGTATTAGATGGACAAGTGGGTTTTGTTACTGTAGATTGATCCCGATTAATAGGTGCAATTACTACAGGTTTATTGGTTTTGGAAGATGTAGCATTAGTCAATTGAACATTTTGCACAGACGATTTATTTTTCCAATACGTGGTAATAGCATTTCGGGGCTGTCTTGTGCGTTTATTTTGTTTTGGCATTTTTTATTTTTTATTTTATCTTTGTTATTAAATTGCAGATTTCGTTGAGATACACTGAAAAAGTTAAGTAAAATCTAATCCGATCGAGGTTTTTATATATTTATACTTAGCAGAGGTTTTTTCGAATTTTGACAGCTGTCTTGTGTTAAGGATACCCAAGTTTGCATAAGGTGTGCTTTTTATGCAGACCCGACTTACCCTCACGCACTTTAGATGCACTAAACAAAGTAAGGCAGCTGTTAAAAATTCGAAAAAGACCTTTGTTTGCATTTACTACGTACATATCAGAAGTTGATAGATACCCGAAGCAACAAATATGCAGAAATATGTTAACAAGCATTGCATGATTTGACGTATGTATGTATGTATGTACATAGAAATAGTGTACGTACGTATTCTCCTAAGAGAAAATCCGCAAATCTTATAAGATTTACAGGTTTTCTCTTGGCAGCACTCATATGTTTATACATTATCCAGAATCAATTAATGGGCACTTTCAAGCAAAAAAATCGGTCCTTCCCCTAAGAAGATATCCATTGTCTAATCATTGTTAGTAGTGCATTCCATGGATTACTTATGAGTATTTCATGGTTTGTCTCATGAATTAAGAGACAATTATAATATGCAGGGAAACAATTGAACACAATTACATAAATATGTATACACCTAATCCACTACAATATCTGCTCAGGAGAAGAACCGAGTTTTTGCTTGAAAGCGCCTTATCTTTAATAATATTTCAGTGATTCAAAACGAAACTTATCAGAACTAGTTTAAGGAATACATGCATCAATCGGGTATCAATACGTAATATCAATCAGAATAATATTATTTCTGATTGATGCCTATTGACGCCCGATTGACCTTTTGCTGCCAGATTTTAGTTCCAAGGTCAATAGGCATCAATCAGAAATAATATTATTCTGATTGATGCTACATATTAATACTCGATTGATGCATGTATTTCTTAAACTGGTTCTGGGTAAAATCACTGATACGTACGTATATCTTGATCTCTACGTATTGCTGCCAGATTTTGGTTCAATAGGGAACATCTGAACCTTCCTGCCTTTTTGAGCGTTTTCAAACGCTTTAATGGGTGTTGGTGAATAAATTTTACATAGCGGAAAATATTTTAAGCGGGCCAAATGCGTTTGTTATTGCGATGAATATTTAAATAATAATTATAAATAAATATTTTTATTAGTAAAAAAATGCCAAATGAGTTTGCCATTTCAATTTGCAAACTTTTTGTCACAAACCATCTTTTTTATATACCTGGCTTGTCAAAATTTACAATTAATTGAGTATTCAAAAAGATCACTCAAATAATTTTGTTATGGATCCAACACTCATCATCAACGAATTATTATTTTATTTATTACACTAAATATTTTTATGAAGAATAAATATACGTCTCAGAAAGCCCAAAAAATGATTACGGATGCTTACGTATTATTTTGCCAACAAATTTACTCTTTAATAATTTCATTTCGTCAACAATAAAATATCAACGAAACCTAAACCCTAGTGGCGACAACATTTGATAAATAATGAATCGCTCAAGCATCAATTGCAATTTGTATTTTGATTATAATAAATGAGCATCGTCACGTTTACTAGCTAATCACCGAGAATAACGCTTGAGAAAACTTTGATTACATCATAATTTGCATTTTTGAATTGTCCAAAAATTTTATAAAAAATATAACTTCGCATATTTGAATTGTCATCAAAAATTTTATATGTATAATATAACTATAGTTGTGCTCTATTACGATCACTACATCGGGATTGAGGTTTGAAAACACTATTTATTCGCGGCAAAGATTTTTAGCATAAGCAGTAAGGCAATCATCCATTGACGCTGGTAACGATTTGAAGATTCAAAAGTTAAGCAATTGAACAATTATTTTTTTCTGATTAATGGAATTTTTTTAATAACCATTTGTTTATTGGAATAATAAATACACTTCCATTAATTAAATTTTTATCTTTGATGCTGACGAAGCAATGAAATTTTAATTATGCTATATAATAACAAAATTTTTTGTATATATTCTAGAAGCTACTAGTATCATTTGTTCTTCCATTCTGGAATGCATATGTCGTGTATCATAATCATCGTTATTGTTTCCTATTTGCATATAGTGGCGCAACATTAATATATTTGATGCGATTAGATGACTTGCACCGTATTAATATAAATTACCGATTTTGTTAACCATAAATACAAAAAAATCAAATGAACAAAAATGTAATCAATAAATTAATATTATACCATACAGCGCGGACCATAACACTTGGTGTAACGAAAATGTAGATCGATTTGTTAAAATATATACTATTTATGTGATGAGAAAATCACTTGAGTTTTAAGTTTTCGCTAGCAAAATTTTGCATCACACCGGGCATGGTCCGCGCCGTACGGTATTTTATTATATAGGCTTTAACAATATATAAGATACATACACGTAAAGAGCTAAATGAATTAGTAAAACCATGTATGTTAATGATACATGATATTATTATGATTATGATTTATCTTTAGTTGATGAAAATTCACCTCGAAATATAACAACATTATTCTCAGTTTCATGAATTTTTATTTCATATAATTCATACTTTCCTTTTGGCAAATGCTTTTGCATATTATTCCATATAAAAACTGCCAACATTTCAGTCGTACTATTTTATAATACAAGAAAAAACAAAAACAAAAAAATATAAGTGATTAAATATGATAAATACATTAAAAAATAGCTTTATTCAGTTCTGATCCTATGTTTACATCATCAATTTTAGATAGATAACACAGTATTATAATATTATCATAAAAAACAAATTAAGATTTTTCGAAATATTTCATACCTTGGACAATTGGCAAAATAAGAAACATCAAGATCCTGTTGGTGTAAAATATGTAAAATATAAAAAATCAAATCATTCTTAGTTGATAAGATCTAGTAAAAAATACAAACTAAATTTTTATGATCCAACTCATCCAATATAGCGACTCTCATACATTTCTTCAAATCAGTTAAATTCATTACCATTCCCGTATGAGGATCGACCTTAAAACACAGGTACAGAATAAGTTGGTATTAAAAAAATTAAGATAATAGATTTTCACATTGATAAGTTTCATGCCTCGCCTCGTATTATGATTTCAACTATATGCGTCAAAGTAAAAACGAAATTCGAATTGTTAAAAAATCAATAAACAAGAATTCATTTGTTGGTATCTTTTTGTAAAGCGATAGATTTAGAAATTTGAGTCGTACCCGTATAATTGTGCCCGTGTCCATTTGGATTATTGCATTTCCCATATAGCTCTTTGTTTTCTTCTTCCGTTAAGTATGGTGAATGCAGCCGATGTGCAGCAGAAAAAGTCTCTTTTCTGCTCAAATATGCTATGGGGCACATACTAATTCAAAGCAAGTTTTAAGGTTCTAATAGGAACCGGTTTTTATGTAGATCAACATGGAGAGCTTTAGTTTTGATTGGATAATCGGATAAAATGTTACACATATGTTCTACATATTTAAAGTCTACTGTATATACAACCTACAATCTAAGTCACAAGACAACTTTTTATAAATTTTTATCACTATGATTCCTCACTAATATTACTATCAACATGAATATAAGAGTGTTGATATTAGAAAGAGTCAAGTGTACTAAAGTTTCTGGTAAAAAATTGCTAATGAAACTGGTGACTATCTAAAATATGATTGGCTATTAAGTGCAATAGCCAATCAGATTTTAGATAGTCACCAGTTTCACCAGCCTCTAGTACTGTATATGTGTGTTGCTAAAAGAAAATCCGAAAATTTAAATATAAGTCATTTAAATTTTCGGGTTTTCTTTTAGCAACACTCATATATATATTTCATATATCCTAAGCATGGTTTTGCTGCAAAAGAACCCAAATAATTTTATCGTTTGGGATACGTTTGGAGGTAAAGTGATAAATCAACATAAGATTGAAATATCTACTCGCTCTATAGATTATTTAGTAATCTAGTGATTAGAAATAAATAGTTTTTTTTATATAATTCGAATCATCTTGTTGATACAAATTGAATAGTATAAGAATCATTAGACTCTATTTGATAAATCCCGCGTTAACATCGATATTGTTATCAGCCACTTTACCCACCCTGCCATATTGCACCCTTTTACCTTATAAAAATCAAAATTTTTATTAAATAAGCAAATTAAATAAAGTTATTCAGAGGATTAAAAATTTTTATTTTTTATTTTTTTTATGTCCTTCAAAAGATTGAAAACCAGGTTTTAAATTTAACTTATATTTGAAATTTATAATATAAAACCTGGTTTCCAGGCTTTTAATCTGGAACCTAAAAGCTTTAGAATCAAACTAACTTTATTATCCCTACTTGTCTTTCTTGGAAGTAGAGGCTTTAGTCTTTTTCGTACCGCGGAATTTTTTGGCACGGTTCTTTCTTTCCTTACGTTGTTTTCGAGCGGTTTTCTCTGGTTCAGCAAGTTTATGCTTTAAAAAGAAATATTATATGAAAAATTTATACAAAATTTTACGTAGTTTTAAGAAAAAATAATCCAAATTATTCCACGTTGTAATTACCCTGACAAGTCTATATTTTGGTTCAAATTTTTTAGCAGCCTCAAGGCTATCATAGATTAGGCCGAATCCTGTCGATCTACCTCCTCCAAAAGCTGTACGAAAGCCAAAGACGAATATAAACTCCTTATCGGCTTTATACATTTTAGCAAGTTTGTCACGAATATCGTCTTTCGATAAGTTTGCAAGACCAGGGTGAATAACATCTATCACCATTTGTTTACGATTTAAAAGACGATTTGTAAGGAATTTGCGCGTTCGTAATACTACACCGGCCGTATCAGACTATATTTTTTTTAGAAAATAAAAAAAATTTTTTTAATGTTATCAAAATTTTTGCCATTTTATTTTTAAAAGTTAACTAATCAAAATAATTATCATTTTAAATATTCAACTTTTATAAAGTACCATTTTTGTGGCAAAAGTTCTTCCCGTTAAACACGATAAAAAGACCGGTGAATGAGAAAGAGAGAGAAGTAAGTAATTTTTCTAACATTATTTATAACGTTAAGCTGTCACATCAAATCTTTCATTTATGATTGGTCAATCAAATTATCAAAAAAAATTTTTTTTTAATTAATTGATAATGTCAGAGATCAAAGCCTCGAAAACGGTTTATAGGAAAAGCCGCAGCAACAAAAAAAAAGCAAGAGGATGTGGAAACAAGCAATATTAAAGATACTGCGATAGTAGTTGTAGGTATGAGTTTACATTTTTATAGAATTTAATATACAAATATGCTTTTGAGATGT